GAGAATAGAATCATGATTCTTCAGGGCGTGTGATTTTTTTTCTTTTACATGTATTTTTTTTAATTAAAATTAAAATTAAGAATCTCAATATATTTAATCCTACTTGGATTGATTTGTCACTATGAAATTAACTCAATTCATCCCACAACTTCAAATCGATCTAAATTTAATCATCAACTTCAAACGGACTTGAATTTAACTCAAACTTCACCCTAGTTTAACCCGAATAACTATTACGTATTGTTGAACGAGTTATGTGATTCAAGTTCTAATCAATCAAGTTGAAAGTGATATGATCAGCCTTCCTAACATATTTAATATTTGGGTCCAATTCGGCTCAATTAATTTCAAGGTGAGTCAATTTTAACTAGATTAAACTTACCCATTTCTTTAATAGGTTAAGCAATGATGAGCTCAATGAACCCTTTAACTTGTATTTTTAACCACTGAAACAGTTTTAGCTTGGCTTTATAATTAAAATTTTGTAACTTAATGGTTTATGTTAGCTTGGCTTATTTTAATTTAACATAAATAAATAATAATTAAGTAAGTTTTAATAAATTGCCCAATTAAAATTAAATATTTTTTAAGCTTGTTATAATCTTATTCAAATAATATATGTAAAAAAAAAGTTCCATTAAGGTTTAAAAATGATTCAAAAGGGCTTTTTAAAGGTTCTAATAAAATTTAAGCAAGGTTATAGATAGCATTAGAATGGATTGGGAGAGATCAAGATTTGACTTTTGTGCAATCGAGGAAGATGTTAAGTGAGGTCAAGTTAAGGGTTTAATTCTTAATTTGGAATTTAGTGTATTTTATTTGAATCTTAATGATTATCATTTTATGAATTGTGATTTCTTTATATTAGTATTAATTGCAATGATTAAGCTTAAAATTGACGAATTAGATCATAAATAAAATCATAAAATTAAAAATTGAACTAGAATAAACTAAAACATAATTAAATAATGTAACATAAATTTATTAATATCAATATTTTCTATTTTATAAATGTTCAATTGGAAAAGTTGTACTTTAAGGAGTAAAAACAAAATTAAATGTTTGATATTGAGAATTATATTTCTAAATCTTAGTAATATCATTATTTCTAAATGTATTTATGATTTTCATTTATACTTTATTCTAGTGTGATTTAAACTACAACATATTCTTCATATTGTTCGGCATAAAATCCCAATGTTAAATAATTACACATTAATTTTTTGAAAAGGTTGTCATATTATTACATGATCTTTTAGAATCTAGTAGAGGTGCATATATAAATTATTCATGGTCTTTAGATTATAATATAGGTGCATATATCAAATTATTACATATCTTTTAAATTCTAGTGTAGATGCATATATCAAATTATTACATGACTTCTAGATTCTAGTGTATGTGCATTTATTCAGTTGTAGATAAATACAAAGTATCGCATAAGAAAATAATATATACTAGAAGAATGGAAATAGAATATTGTATACATAAATACTTGGTTTACCCACACACGTAGATGTTTTCCTAATATCTCAAAAATTTAAGAAATTTAGATCACTAACAACTATGTTGATGAGAGAGTATCAGTCAGGAGTGAGTAGACACATTTCTATCTTAGATAATATTGGACATGCCCTACACCGCATTGAATTGACATGTATTATCGATCAGGAGTGCATTAGATTATGTTTAAATAATACACTTGAAATGGATGTAAAGGGTAAGAGTGTAAAGTTTATTAAAGTTAAAAGATTCTCTCCTAAAAAATATAGTAAAAAAGTAATGTATATAGAATTTTAGATTATTCCCATAGTAAGTGTTATGAATATATTATTTAAATTATTAAATAATTTTTTTATAATGTGATAGAAAAGGTTAGCATGCATAGTCTTCTTTTTATTGAGTTAAATAGTTTACAAATATGATTACTCAATTGGGTTATATTGAAAAACTTATGATGTCATTCAACAAATTTCAGGTCTAAGCTTATCAATAAAAGACGACTATTAGAAATAAGAATATGTACAGAAGGTAATGTCAACAAGCAAAAAAGTAAACTTATTATATATTAATTAAATTATTTTCTTTAATGACTCTTTTCCGACCCCACAGTGGGATTAAGGCTTTGTTGTTGTTGTTGTTGTTGTTGAATGACTCTTTTAGCTTTTATTTGAATTATAAAGTAATAGTGATAGAAAATAAGAGAAATTTTTAATTTCATCTTCTGTCCTTTTATTCTCGCCTTATAAATTTCAAGCTCCCTAGTCGAATCGTGACAACCCTTAATAAAATAATTATATTAAGCTATTCCATGCATTCAACTCCAATCTATTGACAGTTTTCATTCAACTCATATCATTCTTGATTACATCTCCAGGTAATGGGAACAAGAAGGGAGACCTACTGAAAGCTTAGTGCAGTGCATTATGAGTGGTTTCCAACTCTACAAGTTATTGTGAAAAATAACGTTTCAGAAAAAAAAAAAGACAAAAAAAAAATGCTAAATAGTTACGATGGGCAACTGAAAATTAAAACAGTGAAAAAATTGCCCCCAAATTAAGCCGTAGACTGCTAATATATATATAGGAAACGAGACCAAAAAACATGCATAAACCATGCACAGATAGTAAGCAAAATTAGTAATAAATGACCGATGAACAAAACTATAGGTAGTGCTACAAAATTTCTAACAAAACAATGAGCATAAAACGATGTTTGTAATGCAGAAGACCACCATTAGCTCAGTGCTACAAAATTTCTAACAAAACAATGAGCATAAAATGATGTTTGTAATGCAGAAGACTCCACCATTAGCTCAGAAAAAAAAAAACACCTTTATTAAACGACAGATGTACTTACTAAGGATCAAGTTTGTGTTTGGGAAGATATTTTATCATCATTTGGTCACATTAAAAAAAATAGAACTTGCCTTCAACAGATATTACAATCAGAAATGTGCATTCGTGTCCGACTTCGTAGGCGACACAAAGCCAACTGAAACGTACAGGGGAGAGTCTTTTTCATATACAGAGAATGCTTGAGAAAGGTGAGGCAGGGGGATTTGGAAGCCAAAGTCAGGCTGCGCTGCATCAAATAATCATCCGGACTTGAACAACAAGACGGCCTTTGAATCAAGGTAAAAATAGATGAAGTGGTTTGTCTCGTGGGTAACATATGAACCTGTGGCATAAAATAAACTTCAGCAGCTGGAGCCATGTTATAAATTTTTTAGTGGATTAAGCGAAAATGTATCTCGGTTCATTGTCAATGCTTGGCAAAACTGCAAATTAAACAAGAAAGTGAAGCAATGGTTTTGTTTTGAACAGCAAACAAACACCACAGTAATGGTAATAAAAGACTGAAAGAATGAAATTAGCAACATAAAAAAATTTCAACTGAACAAGACAAATCAGTTCACTAGAACAGCAATCATCTTAAAAAAGAACGAAGTGGCAAAATAAAAATGTAAAACCAATTTAAGGCAACTAGAAACACAAGCATATTTATATTTGATAAATTCAAAAATTCACCTTTTTAGAGAGAGAGAGAGAGAGTTCTTTTAAGCAGTTGATCTGAATGCATACAAGGTTTCAAAAGTATCAAAATTAATGCAACAAGGAACTCATGATTTGAACGTTTTAACCCATTATCTCCTAAAACCAAAATGGAAAAACTCTTCAAAATAAGCCTATGGCAGATCAAATTCCAAATCTGTCTACAAAGGATATCGAATAATTCAAAGACGTTCAAACTTAGGGGGTGTTTGGCTGCAAAAAATTTAGTAAATCCGATGTTGTTAAATTGAAGAAGATGTTTGGTATGATTTAACCTAAACCCACTTAAATCCATCTTTTATGTGTGGCACTTTATCCGGATTTAATTTTTTTGCGCACTAAATCTGTTAAATCGCCTGTAAATCCTATTAATTTTATGCTACCAAACACCGCTTTAATCCTTCACATATGTTCATGTCAGATCACCTTTAAATTTTTTGAAGCAACTTTGCAAAATTTAAAGCATCTATCAATTTTAACATAAGTCAATCATAATTAAAGAGAGGTCAAAAGCTGTTTGCGTGATAACAAGATTAATAACATGTGATTATGCGTCATGCTTGTTAAACTAAAGATCCCTTGCATGATAAGTGGAACCATCAATTTTAATTTATCGTTGACCTGAAATTCTCAAATTTAATTTATCATTGATCCAAGACGATACCATCCGAATTTCAAAATTTTACCTCACTATAATGGAAGATTAAGTACTAACTTTGTTCTCTAGCTGCATTTAAGTGTAGGATATCAATTCCTCACATTTTCAAAATCTAGGGGCAATTCTAGAAGTATGCAAATTCCATCAAGTCAGAAATACATAAAATCAATAAATTGTAGTGAATAATGTCTCAAAAATCAGCCCACCTAATTGAAGTTTCATAGATTTTATTATGACTAAAAATTGAAGATGGACATGCCGTCAGCAATGCCATATAAATTTGAGTTTTGTTCATTAAAAAAGTCAAAGCAAAGTTGAAAACAATGTAAAATGAGACCATTAAGAAGGATAGCTGCTAAATCTAGAAAAGGTTAAATTACAAAATGAATAAATTAGGGAGATGAATAGAGGAACATCTATCTAATATATGGTAATTGAAACAGGCTTAGGTTTCTAAGACATGCACAACAAATGGTAGAAAATTCATCGCTTAAACATGCATATAAATTAGTGTTAAAGATTAGGAAGAAAATGAAATTTCCTAAAGTACATGAACAAAAGTTAAAAGGATAGTAAAGAAGAGCAACAACGCAAATAGCACTCAACAAAATGAATTTAAAGAAGAGATTTGTAAGCCAACAATAAGTAGTTGGTATAAACTATGAATTACAGCGAGCAGCTAGAGAGAAGGAATCACAGGTGAATACATACCAGGGAATTGAGTGAAATGAATACTATTACATCTCCTCTCTTACATGCTATACAATATCTATATATAGAGAGAAGAAGAGTATTCTAGAACCCAAATAATAACTTGCTACTATTATGAGTTGGTAAGGATCTCAAATATTCTTGCTGCAGGTTACACGTGATGTCGTGATCCTACGCTGCTCCACTACCTAGAAGTTGGTGAAGACCCCCCTTCAAGCTGAGTCTTACCAATGACTTGAATCTTGGATTTGAAGAGATTGAAATTGTGCTTATGTAAGGACTTAGTGAATATATCCGCTCGTTGGTCTTGTGTATGAATATAATGTAATTGACGAGTGTCGGCCTGTATGTGTTCGCGAATGAAGTGATAATTGATCTCGATATGTTTGGTCCACGCATGGATTACCGATATGTTTGGTCCTGAGCAGCTCCTAGTTCTTCTAGTAAGCATCTAAGACATATAAGATCAACCTTAGCCACAATTAAGGCACGATATTCGACTTCAGTTGATGAGTTGGCAATCATTGTTTGTTTCTTGATAGTCCATGAGATAGGTGTCTTATCTAGAAGCGTGCAGGAACCTGTGACAGATTTTCTATTGGAGGAGTCATCAACCCAGTCAGCATTTGCAAAGTCCTGAAGTCATAATACCCTTCAAGTATCAAAGAAGAAGTTTCAGGAGTTGATTATAATAGAGAGCGTCGGTTGATGCAAATGTTGGCATAGAACATTAACGACGAACGCGATGTCCGATCTGGTGATTATCACGAATTGAAGAGCACTTGTAGTTTGTCTATAATCGGTTGGTTTAGCAAGTGGTTCATCAGGCATAGAGTGATCATACCTTTTAGCGGTTAACGGCGTGGAGATTGAATTAAGTGAAGCATAGAAGTGTCTCGTAGGATCTTTACGAGATATTTTTGCTGATATAATCTCATGAAATCTGCGGGATCACTCCACTTGGATATCGAGAAACTTCGAGAGTCACCGAGATGCTTGAGTTGAAATCTGGTTGTGAGTTGTTCAGGAAGAGATGTAATAGCCGCGGCGTTGTTGCTGGTGAGGATCAAGTCATCAACATAAATAAGGACAAAGGTTTTCGCCATGGAGGTCGAATAAATCAGCAGGGAATCATCTGATTTGCTGAGATGAAAACCATTTTGGATGAAGAAAGTAGAGAGGATTAAACCATTCACAGAGTGATTATTTCAAGCCATATAGTGCTTTCTTTAGACGACATACATGATCGGGAAAGTGAGCTTGAAGCTGATGGTTGTTGCATAAAATTGGAAACTTCAAGATGTCCATGCAAAAAAGCATTCGCAACATCAAGTTGAAGGAAAGGCCATTCGTTATTGAAGGCCAAAGTGAATATAATACGAAGGGTGGCCATCTTAGCAACCAGGCTAAATGTCTCATAAAAATTGATACCAATTTCTTGTTTGTATCCATAAGCGACCAAGCGGGTTTTGTATCTGGCGATCGTTCCATCGGGATTGTATTTGTTTGTATAAGTCTACTTACAGTCAAGAATGGTTTGCTTTGGGGTTGGAGGCAGCAATTCCCATGTAGCTTGGGATTGTAGAGCTTGGAATTCTTTTGTCATTGCCGTACGCCAATTTAGTAGCTTAATTGCTTGAGTATAGGATATCGGGTCAGGGCTATGCTGACATTTATGTAGTAATGAAGTTCTTGAAGGGGTTTGGCGTGGGTTTGCACGAGGTGTAAGGAGTGGATAGTGGTCGCGGGGACAATGGGAGCAATGGGTTGTGCCTTTGACTATTGTGAGAAGGTGGCAGGAATTGGGAAGATGTTGGGCAATGGGTGAAATGAATACTATTACATCTCATCTCTTACAAGCTACACGATATCTATACATAGAGAGAAGAAGAGTATTCTAGAAATCAAATAATATCTGCTACCATTATGAGTTGGTTAGGATCCCAAATATTCTTCCTGCGGGTTACACATGATGTTGTGGTCCTGTGCTGCTCTACTATCGAGAGGTTGGTTAAGAGTCGGGATAAAATTAATGATGATAAATTGATAATGCATTGCATTTGTTTTATAAATTTTAAACCATCATTGAACTCTCATTTCCACGGACTATCTTTACAATTTAAAAAGTGGTATTTTAAAAAATTCAAATTTAAAAAACCAATTTACAATTTAGAAAATTAGTTCAGGTTTAGAAGGAAAATTTACCATTAAAAGTTACAGATCAGCAAAAAAATATCTTAAAAAAGTAACTATCTAACACGTGTCATGATGATAAATAGGTTTCAAAATACATCAGGCTTAATAAAACCTAAGTTTTTAAGATCGCTCAAAACGGAAACTATCAACCAATTTCAGCCAAAATAGACTTGGAAGCAGTCGGAAGTTTCAGTTTTAGCCGAACAAACTTGTACCAACCTAAACAAAAGTTGTTTGGCTAACCGCATTTGGGGAGCTCATCCGTTGAGAGTAGGAAGCAGAGCTGGGTTTAGAAATGAGGAAACGGTAGGCCACAGGTGAAAGGTGAGGAATGATTTTGAAAACTTCTGCCTTTTAACTACGCAGTTTTTATGCTTAGATTCAAAATCAGATATTTCAGTGTTTAGAAGAGGGGAAATCACACAATTAGGTTTAGAAAAGTAGATTTTGAATATAAAATTTTAAACTTGAAAGTACATATTTTCGTTTTTAGAGAATTGGAAAATTAAGTGTATACTTAAATTTAAAATAAAACATTTTATGTAGTATTAAAAAGATAAAAATATGCCTAGAAATTAGAACCAAACAATTGGCACTATTTTAGGGCTCCTTGAAGGTATTTAGCAAGCAAATCTAGCGAGGAGGTGGTCGTGGAATAGCGAGGAGGTGATAATATGCACAGTCAACAACAAATGGAAGGGATTAGGGGATGTTCGGCGGTTGTCCGAGCTGAAATCAGCAAAGAGAACCATGAAATGTTGTGGTACTGATGGCAAGGAGGTTTCATTATCAATTCCTGAACAAGCTACAGATACATCACTTGCAAAAAAAATATGATACAGTACTCTCTAGGCAAAAATCAGATAATACAATCTCCAAATATACAAAAAATAGAACTAAGTCCCAAAATAATAAATACAATATATAAATAGTCTCCTAATAGAAAATAACCGTAATTAGAAATAAAAAAGAAAATAAGCTAGAAAAAGAAAAATTTACGTTGAATTGGATAATTGGACAAGAATTTGCCCCGCTCGCTCATACTACAATTGCAGGATCTT